AAAGGTTTCGCGAATCACACCTTTCTCCGCTTTCAAGCTCAGGCGCGTTTTTCACTGCATATGGAATGCTTCACAATCTGCAGCTTTCGGCTTAAGTACTAATGGATGCCAAAGTAATCCCAACATGCTAAAAAGGTTCTCCAGTGGCCCAAATATATGTATGCTCCGAGAATGTTTTCACGTATCCTAGGGTTAGGTGGTGGAGGTGCAAGTAGATCAGTTATCACGTTAAATCAGTTACCAGGCAACTGGATCAGCGTTCATACTCCGCGACAGCAGCGGCGATCGCCTAGGTCGCCGCTGCTGTCGCGAAGTATGAACGCTGCCTTAGTTAGTTGTTACGAAGGTATACCTCGAATGCGTGCCCTGCGTGCCCTATAAAGAAAAGGAAGTGATCAACGTTTGAAACATGATCTTTTATTTGTTTTCTCTAAGTGGCTTCGCGATAAATGGGAACTTATTAATGTGAAGACGACCGCAACAATTTTTTTTACCATCAGATGCTCAGAATGAAAGCTGTCGATGATTTTCGAACCTAATTCAATACTGAGTAGCCACGCAATTGCGGTGACATTTTCTCTCCTATTCATTTCAGAAGAACGGCAAACCGTTTCCGACTGATCAAATATTACAGGCTTTAATAGCGAACACTGTTACAGCGGCAGTGAGCCACCAAAAACGTTGTCTACTTGTTATGTGAGTCTTCTCATCCTTGTTATGGGGAAACGATCAAGTAGCTGTTGCTCGGTCTCAGTATTGCACGTCCAACTCCTGATGAAAAATGCTGTTGGTCATAGTGTTCTCTTCACTTCACCATTCGAAAAATGAAGAAGTGCTCTCTCTCTCATGCACGAAAAACTTTCTGCATGGACATTGAAGAGTGATTTGTCCTCATGAGGTCATCGACCAGCAACGAGTAACTTTATATTGGCTACGGTGGCCGTGTCAATTAGCTAAAGCCGAAATGGTTTGAAGTCGGGCTAAATCAACAAAACTGCCTGCCACACAGCCGTGCACCTTCCCTTCCTGATGTTTAGATAAAAATTTGACATTTTCTCCTCCAATCTGCTTGAATGCTATGCTTACCTAACCTGCCGTATTGAATTTATAGCGCCACAATAAAAAACGTAGTGCTTACGCAGAGCTGGCCAATCATTTCATTCCTTTTTGAGATATTTCATTGCATTTCTGGGATTGCACTCAATTTTTTAGATATGGTGGAGGTGGGGCTCCCGCATGCGCGGTTCCTGGTATACCGGATCGGTTCCCGCCCGCCTCAGCCGAGCCTCCCCTTTCTCGAGGTCCGTTGGTTGCTACCACACCTGCCTGGATACTGACTTGTGTTATACATCGGTGGCTTCTGCAAGCCACTGTATTGGCCAGACCTACTTATGAAATCCATTTTAATTTTAAGTACAAGCAGAATGCGTAGTGCATTCCAAAAAAAACGAAAAACACCAAACGCTCCTATTTTTTCCCATTCTCTGTTGCCTTCATTGGATTGCAGTGAAGCTCAGAAGATATTGTCATAAGTATACCGCCTTCGGAACAATCTACCATCTACCTACAACAATCTCTAGAGTGTAAAAAAATTACAAAATTTTAAGCGGAAAGCTCTCAGAACTACATTCTTTTTCAAGCCAATCGATAAGAAAACCACGTTTCTGATGAAGATAACAGATCAGATCCTTTCCCCTTGTTTTTTTATCCCCTTTCGTTCTTCGATTTCTTCTGAAGTTAGTTCTGTTTGGGGCTCCTTGCCTTATAACATTTTCGACGTTAATCGTCAATGTAAATGGTCCCGGCTGATGTGTCTCAACTGATCAATCGATCACAACGAAAAAAGTTGTTAATCCCTTTTTCTTATGCGCCATGCATTCCAGTTTCACTCAGAATCGCAGTGACACACCAACAGACATACATTTGTCCTCCCTTCAAACGATTGGTCGAATCGATAGCAACGAAACATCAGAACTTCACTGTCGCCTTGCTAGGAGTTCCTTTGCATATGGGAGGTCCTCGTTGTTTTGGGGGCCTCTTAGCTTCTGTCAAAGAAATTATCAAGAGAATGCGGGATTTAAGGAAGCGGTCTGAGATGCTGAAAGCCCTCACAACTCGCCTCTTAACATGCAGCTTCTGTGAGAGATGAGCACTCTAAGCTGATCAAAGTTGCACTCTCGGGAGCGATTTCCCTAAACAACTGACTCAAAAAGGACTTTGTGATGAGAAATGCAGTTGTATGAAGTTTGGAAGAGTGCCGTATAACTAAAATAAAGATGAAATCATGTTAATTCATGTTTTCATCTTTCATGTGTTTTTGTTCATGTCTTTCATGTTTCTTTGTTTCATGTTTTTAATGGTAATGCAATATTGTTAATTGCAATAAACATAGTGTAATAACGGGAGCGATCGAATGGCAGTGTCTCAGATGAGGCTACGTTATTGCGATTTGACACCTGGTAATCTGTGTTGACACTCTGGCACACTGGAAGTGTCATCGCAGCGTTCAAACCACTTTTTCGGACCAAATGTATGTAAGGAAATTTTTTAGGAGCTGTAACATAGTAGTGGGCCTGAGGATTCCATCGGCATTACCTTTACGTAATATGGCGCACTAATTAGAGGCTATCACACTTTGAATATTTACATATTAGAAAAGGGAAGTTTACCCAATTCACATTACTGGCCGCTTCAGCGGATTATTGCCGATAAATACCAAATACTCAGAGTCTATACATTCTTCCAAAGAGTTTATTCAAACGAAGGAGGGGTGATTTGTTACGACAGTCCCCAAATAAACCTAGAAGGGAGAGCTGCAATTCATAACCTTGGAAATCAGAACAAGTAGTTTTAGAAAGCTCTGATGCTAGCTGGGCTCCCTCCTAGTAGTCCTATAGCCACATATGATCGAGTAGTTCCTGGCGTTCCTCACTCCTATTTGCCCAGTGGCTCTCTCCTATCTATCCTAAATCTTGTTCATTGCGGTTAGCGGTGAGGTGTCAAAGTGATCTTATCTAAGGGGGTATAACTCACTCTGCCTGCTAGAGGCTGTTATCAGTAGTTATGGTTGCGGAGGTCTCATTAAGACTCGCATAGTGCAGATTTGCCATTTTTTATAGTTACAGTTGAAAATTTTAATTTAATTTAATTTTTGACAGACCCATCTAGATTCCAGCGGCAGATCTCAGGATGTGTCCTATCCATCTTGTCGATAGTTTCTCGTTCAGTGCGCTAGTTCTCAATAGTCACTACACTCGTTTCGAGTGCTATACAAAGTCTTTGAATGGCGCCGACTGTCTCAATAATACCCATGGGAGGCTCAGTCAACCTCACAGTAATACAGCAGGCGTCAATCGCAGTTTAGTTATCAGCTCAACATGTGCTTGAGCACTTTCTGTCGCTACTGGTGTCACTTCCACCCTGATACGATTATTCTTCTCTGCCCTTACCATCTTAATAACTGAGCGATTGGGCTCGAATTCGATGGACACGCGGCTGACCCATGGTGCATCTGCCTCGTACAACACTGTAATTCGAGAAGGAAACTACATGCTATCGGGTTTCATCTATCTTATTCATCCATTAGGAATCGAATGCTTCTCTATCATTCTATCTTGCATTTTCGCATGGTTCTCAATGAGTAAATCCTCATTGGGCAAACCTTGTTTTCTCACGTGTAACTGAAAGCGATTTTGAACCTCCTACCACTTGTTGTGCTCTTCAGAAGACCTGACGACTCCCTCCAGACGTCATAATGAGTGAAACTTAAAGGCACGATCCGCGATCAGGTATAGAAGTTGAAATATGGACGTCAGGAGGGTACGTTAGTCCGCGACGAGCAACATTGTACCGATTTCGCGGCAAAAAAATTGCCCCTTTCCCACTTGTTGAGAGGTTCAGAAAACTTGAGGACTTTCGCCAGAAGTCATTATGAGTGAATCTGAATGTTGACCCCCCCCCCCGCTGAGAGCTTCAGAATACCTGGGGACTTTCTTCAGAAGTCACTAAAGGCACGAAAAAGGGACTTCTCCATCACAAAGTGAAAATGAAAGCCGTGCAAGGAGTAGAGACTGATCTTCAATGACAGCTGCTTTAAAAAACCACGAATTAACAAAGGAAGAATAAAGTTTTAATGTTTGAATTAATCCCGTCCTTCCTGACGCCCTAATTTGTTATAGGAAAAAATTGAGAATACAAAAGGCAGATGACTGCCTGACCCTAATCCGAGATCAGCTCAGAATTAGCGAGAGATATGCGTTTGGTGGGCAACACATCGTCCTTGGACCAATATGTGAGTATTTCTTGAACCATTCTGATAATCTAGCCCCTCATTTCCGGTGGCTGGTCCCTTTTGTGGGTATTTGATGAGAGCGGATGCTCAAGGACAACGTGGGCTGGCCACGCCCAATTCGGAGGTTCAGTGGCTAAATCGCACAGTCAATGGACTCCGCCTCGATGCCTTGAGCTGAGCGGTTGAACTAAAGCGATTACTAGTCGGTAATTTGGTGATCTCTGCTTTTGGGCGTTGTCCATACTCGTTCCAATTCTTGATTTCTTGTGGTAGTTTGATTGATAGCGATCACGCAGCTGATTCACAATCGGTGTCATTCAGAACAGTAACCGGTTCCATTGAAAACTCTATGCGTTGTTGTTCCCCGCTCTCGTTTAGTTATAATTGATCTTTTGAATTCAGTGAAAAAAATCGTGGCCCGAAAAACCAATTATATGGACCTTCCAATGGCCCACTAGATTTTTCCTACGCTTGCTATGGCATTTTGTTTCGTGCTCATGTTTAGTCCACTTGCATGCTTTTTATCTGATCGTTATTTTCGTGGGCACGAGCCATAGCCCTTTTATTTTCTCACCGCCAGTACCTAAATCTTATCTGCCCTTATCTCCTAGCGGCAACAGCTTTCGTCCAGCGCCATATGGCGTGTTCCAGTCGCTAAGTACGCCCATCGCTAGTCTGAAAAAATGATTTCATGAACCATTGCCTTTAGATGAATGAGTGTTCAAACGGAAGACTGGTATCGTTTCTGATCGAAGGCGATGACGTCGTCTCGTGCGAAGTCTGCCTAGAGCCCTTCCAGCCGCTCACCCGGCCACCCAAGATTCTCCCTTGCGGTCATAATTTTTGCGATCAGTGCCTATTCAGTCTCTGTTGTCACCAACAGGTTCGTGTATAGCCCTTTTCCGGTTAAGGTATGAGAAAAATCACTTTGAAACTTTCAGTACTATTTACTCGACTCAATCAAGTGCCCAACATGTCGCACATCATTCCCCACCAACGTAGCTATCGAAGCTCCTACCAACTGGGATCTTTGCAGTAGGTTTTGGAAACCATTTCGTGCAAGCTATCTTCAGCGCTCTGGAAACTAGCACGATTTCAGAGATCCTCGAAAACGTTCAAAAAGGAAGAGAGATGAATGTAACGGTGATCCATGTGCCGGACATGCCTCGTGTACCACCAGAAGCTTCTCCTCACTCATTGAAGAGAAAAGGAATTCTCACAAGAACGACATCGAGAACGCAAAAGTACGTCCTACGTTGCTGACGAGTTTTTCAGAGGCCTGGGACTTTCTAATTGTAAGCTTTTCCAGGGAGAAATGTAGTGACTGCCATCGTAAACTCTCCGCTAAGATCATTGGTAAAGCAGCGAGGTACTGCTATGAGTGCAATCAAAAGGAAAAGATCGTGAGTTTTCCTTCGTGCTTTTCCGGAGAAATAATTTCACCTCACTAATTTCTTTTTTTCATAGACTTTCACCTGCCTTGAGTGTTGTGTCAATAAGCACAATGGCCACACCCTTCTCTCACTGTCGCAACTTCAAGCTGAACAGCTAAAAGTAAGAGCTTTCCGAGCACTGTTCCTGTACCTCCTTGGCTAGTTTCCGTTGTTCGTATATCGATCGTTATTATAGGTACTGGGAGAGTTGAGAGAACTCCGTAGAAGAATTGTCGATGCCTTTTCATCTGGTCATTCGTTCCCTGAGGAATGGTCCAGTAAAGGCGACAAGGGTCTCTCCAGCTCCACCTCAAAACAGACTTCGCTAACCAACGATGCAAGACTTGCCAAACTCGACCACACTATAGAAGTGATCGAGTCCTCCGCGGTGATCTGCCCAAAGAAACTTAGGTATGTGGATTTTACTTATGAAAATATCAAGAAAATACCAGAAAAGGGTAACAATTGCAGCGAACTTCGAAATGAGCAAATCCATCAGTGCTCAAGACTCTTCACGACAACGTCAGTGCATCAGAATGCTTCACCAAGTATTCTAGAAAAATCTGGAGGTGAGAAGGATACTGTAGTGTTTGAACGCTAATTACCGAATCGCTAAATTCCTTCCACTTTTACTGTA